TGGTTGGGAAACAAGACTACAGTACTTTCTTCTTGCGGGCATCTCCTACCCTCCACTTTCTGCATTTTTAGGGGGAAGGGAGGCTGTCTCCCTCTTTCCTCCATAGGAAAAGGGGCCAGTCACATGAACTTTGCACTCCCAAAGTCCAAATGCCACTCTCTGCCTTGGCACTCTGCGGGTGGGGGAAGGACGTGTTGAACTGGTTCTGAGTGGGCCTCAGTAAACCCAACAGGGAGGTGGCTGCTCTCAACTGCCCAAGTCTCCTAGCACCTGGAGCATGAGGTAATCAGGGTACTCTCTGATGTCAGCTATGAGCCTCAGCTGCAATTCAGGGACAATAGGAAAAACAATTCCACCTAACATCCTACTGCACTTTTTCAGTCAAATGTCTACAGTCTTCCACGGACCTTTTTCTCCTGCTATACTAATTCTGCACACCCTTGGCTTCCATTCCTTCCTGCCAGGAGTCTCTGTTCCTATCACTCTGCAAATCCTGAAAGTTTCCTTTAAGCAGCAGAATGTGAACTGACCCAGCCCTCCTCTGGGCCCCCACATTTGGCCTCCTTGTCTATTGCAGGCTTTGTTTGATTTTCCTCACAGTGAAATGAGTGGTTTACTTATCTGCCTCATCCTTCAACCCCGTGTTTCCTGCATTCCTCATAGAGCTTTCCACGCAGCAGGTACTATAAATGTTCACAGCACATTGAGTGGCAGAAAGGAGTTTCCTCATCTCATAGGACTAGTCCTGTATAACTGTTTACAATTTAGAATTACTCTTGTTAGCCAACAGCAGCAGGCTTATTAAGTGTTGAGTCTACCAACCCACTCATATAACAGTGCCATACGTTGTTGACTTAGAGTTTACGAAATGTCCTGGTTCAGATGGTTTTATTTGAAACATCTTTTGCTTTTGAAACAGCTGAGTGAATTAGATGGGGTAGATTTTACTCTTTTTATTTTTTAAATAAGGGGGAGTGTTCAGGAAGTATAAGTGACTCACCCAGGATTTCCTGGGTAGTGAACCATGACTCGTGCTCTGCCTCTTTGCACAGAGATCCGAAGTTCTTGTAACAAGAACCTTTTGTAGCAAGGTACCTTGCCAGTCTCACACTTTTTGGGTAAGTAAATGGCTTCCAAGGACTTGACTGGGGTCTTCAGTGACTTGGTTTTGGTCACATCCCCAGCTATTGGTGACTCACTAAGTTTATGACACTAAGCCAGC